CTATGGCTAGTAAGCTAGTTAGCCAGATATGCTAATTTTACAAGCTTACTTTTAAACATTCCTTACACTTTTTCTCTCATAGTTTTGGTTTAGGAAGGGTAATGGTTATGAAAGGGCAATTTGCATGAAAATGTTACTAATTTATAGTTAAACTTTATACTTATTTATTTTTTCCCCCTATGATGCATCAACAAAGGAACATCTTGTCTTTTCTTAATGTCACTTTTGACACAGCAGATTTTTCCATCCGTGCGGTCGCTTTTCTGTTGAGCTGTACATTTGTCATGGCAAACAAGGAACCAAAAAAAGTCTTGTCATACCACATCTACATAATAAAATAATGTATTATTGTATTGTCACCTTTAAGCAGTGTAGACTATATGTATGGTTGTCTGTATTTCACATTTCTTAAATACACAAAGTAAAATTACATGTGAGGGAGTTTCTACAGTAAATGACACTTTGTCTTGCACACTGTCTAACATGGTGACAAACTGAATGCCATATGTATCACAGGACGCACTTCTCCTTTCCAGTTTTTCTCATGGTTGTGAAAACCTGCCGTGTTTTAGTGAGATATAAGATCGTCATTAACGCTAACCCAGGTGCCAGTGTGTGGCAAAGCTTTCTTTTAGCTCTGGCTAGATTTACTGTCTGTTGGTGTGTGGGTGAGTATTCAAGTGGTTTCAAGGCCCTTCCTTAATCAGCTTCCTTCAGCCACCGCTTCTCGCACTCTCTTCCCTATTTCTGATTCTCTCACACACGTATGCAATAGTATGTAGGTCTACACCTTTGGGACACAGCAGCAACATAAAACCCAAGCAGCCGCTAGCACACCAGTAAACTGACTGATATCTCTGACGGTCTCTGCTGTGGTCACAACTGCTGCTTACTGAGCTCACAGTGGTGAGGTTGCATAGAAAAGTGTGGGTGTCTTTTTCTGAGTTCATATGATTTGCATCTTGTATACACAGCTCAGTTTTGTTTATGAACTTCCAATACAGGTATGGTTTAAAAAGAAAAATGTAGGGTTGCCCTCTGCAGCTGTTTGTTGGGACAGCATACTACAACACACAACATATTAATAACATGTTTTGTCTTTTTTTGTTTTTTGTACAAAATTACAATTATTGTAATAGTGTTAAAAGCACAGTGTGTGATCTGTAAACCAAAGGTTAGCCATAGCACTAAAATTCAAAAGACACGTGGACAGCATTGAAACTCGCTATTCTGTTTTTTAATATATATGCTAACACGAGACAATTACTGAATTTGTAACGTAACAAAATATATCACCAATGTTTGTTAAAGATAGAAACTAGATATGTCTAAATTCTAAATTATAACATTTTAAATAATCAATTTCATAAACATTTATTTGAATATATACAGCATGTGTATGCCGACAAATTATTTTGATGAAATAGGTTGAAATATACTGTCAGGGCCTTCAATTTGCACCAGCAGATTTGTGTTTTTTTTTACACTAAGGGGCAAAAGAACTTCTAAAACAAGCAGGGAAACACACACCTCTGCCCTGGTATAAATTAAAAAAGTTATTAAGCTGCTAGCAAATGTTGCCTATCTACACATTCAACAGATGTGGAACACCATTAGCATTCATTTTGGGTCAATCAACCCGACAAATTTAAGTCTAATAAAATACCTAGCTGTTCAGCTCCTAAATGCTCCACTGTGTTCTCCAGCTAGTAGCTAACTTTGTCAGTCGGCCATGTGGTGCTGGGCAGGAAATGTATAATGAGTTTTTATCAGAGCCAGTTAGTTAAAAACAATAACCTGCTGGAAAAAAGATTGTTAGGACAAGTGAGATACATTTCTGGATTGTAGAACCAAAAGCAGACCTAGAATTGGGTGTGTGAAATAGCGACACTCATAATGATGTGATCATGAATAAATATGGTGGAAACACTGCATGAGCTTTTTTGCCTTCAGTTTCGTTTAAAATAGTCGTAATAGTAGAAGTTAAAATTATAAACACAGATTACAGGCACATAACGTAAGCAAATTGTTGGTTTTACATCCAAGCATATTAACAGCCACCTTCAAAGACCTGTAATAATCCTACACACCTGCAATCCTAATACTCCGTCAGATGCAGTCATTAATACACACACGTGAGCCAACACACAAACACACACCTCTCTGTAGCACCTCCACCCGCCCCGTCCCACAGGAACAACATCTCATGCTCGTGCTGAGGAAGCTGCTTGCTCCCCAGAGGTGGAAACCACATTAGCATGTACAAGCTCTTATCTTCTGAGTGGCAGCTAATTAGATTCTGTGGCCCTAATATGAATAATCTCATCTGCCGTTCCTTCTCCTGCTTATCAGCCGAGCCTCCAGGTGATGCTGAGGTAAGGACGCAGGCAATGAATGGATAAATCACTTTTCTCTCTGCTCCTTTCTTTTAATCTTTAATCTCTGTTAATGCATTACACAGCCCAGCGAATGGAAACTTGTGTAATCGCCATGGCTAAATGAATGAGCGGCAACCTTGTTTGTTTTCTGTAATCAGGACTTAAACATCTTTGTTCAAATCAGAAAGCTGTTTGAGTAAGCCAGTTAGTTTAGCATTCGCACCACACTCTTCTGAGGGATTGTGAACAATACTGGATTTGGCTTTCTGTTTCTGACTGACTGATTGGTCCCTTCAGTTATTCAGCCAGAGAAAGCAGATACTAAACACGTAGTTAGCAGCAAAGAAATCTTAATATGCACTGTGAGGTTCTTCACTGAAGAAATGACACACTTCAAATGGATGAAAAACTCTTTCAGAAGAAACTGGGTGTCCTTAGTTATGGTTAAAAGGAGTCATTCCTTCTGCTGAAAGGAATCTATGTTAATGTCTTCCTACACATGCTATGTATCATCTTCCACGCTGCTTTGAAGGAGCTTAGTAGTAAACTGACGTTTCCTCTGACTTGTGATCCATATTGTTCTGCCCCCAGATGTTGGCCTCTGCTCACAGTTTGTCTTTCTCAGTCGTGACATACAATTACAATTACTCATCAAAAGGTGGGAGTGGAAAAGATTATAAAATATCCTGCTTAAAAGGAAGCACTGTTACCTTGAAATTGGTACATGTTATTGGAAAACAAAACTATTTGTATCACTAGTGGGACAATAAATGTAACGTTGTCTGGAGGAAGGGATGTACTTTTTGTTGCATAAATCAAAGATTTATCTGCTAGAGCTTCCACACTGTAAACATCTACCAAATGTTGTTGCAATCCACCAGATAGATAGTTGAGAAATTTCGCTCTGGGCAGAAATGTTTGTCAGTACAGTAGATTCACAGACCAATAGAATGACATCATCATCCCTAAAGCCATGGCAGGGTTAAAAATAAAATGCATTCACTCAAGTATAGCCTGAACATGTCCATGTCAGAATGTGGAGTCTGAAATTCATCACATTATACAATGTAAAAAGCACATCCATTGTTAAATGATTAAAATGCCAATATAAAATGCTCTTTATGTCAGTATCATCAGTCAGTAGCAGCATGTTCATAGACACAGGTATTGATAACATTAGTGATCTATGCATTTCACTTAGATGTACCTGTTCTAAGCCACTGGAATTATGCATACTAATTTACTGGGACATCTAAATGGAGCAGAGTCAACGTTGTTACTGTTACACCTGTGCTTTTCCTGCTATGACAAGTCAAAATGTTTTCTGTAAAATAAGACAAAGTCAAAACTAGAGCTGCAACAATTGTCAATTGGCTCCATGGGTTTCCTTAGCCAAATGACGCTGATTAGATTAGAGCTGCACTATCAACCTTGTTTCCAGCAGCAAGCAACTATCTCAGATATAAATCCACTCCACGCTCCCTGGCCAGTTTGTTAACATAGCAGAGCATTTAGCAGCTAAAGAGTCAAATATTTCCCTCAAGGAACTACAACAGGGTTAAAAAAGAGAGTTAGACTGGACTTACAACTCAAAATCAATTATCTGTTCAATGTGTAAATAGGCTAACTGTTTGCTAACCCATTCACCGTAACAATGAACAAATCAATATATGCAGCTTTAAACTACTACTACATACACCTGCACAATCTTCTTACAAATGGAATACAAATGGATTTTTCTGTTGATCACTGCCTGATTTGATCTTTATATTGGATACAAATGTTAAAGCTGCAGTAGGTAATTTTTCTAAAAATAACTTATATAATAACTAATATTTGGTGAAACTTTCAGGATACAGAGAACATTCCAGCAATAAAGACAAAAGTTATTTTTATAAAAGTTACCAACTGCAGCTTTAAAGTTAAAATGTATTCGTATTATAGTAAAAGTAATACTGGCTTGAACAAATGTTTAGATGTAGAAGCAGCACATAGCAAAGCTTTTAACAGTAATTTTACAATGGTGGAAAAAGTAGTTTACTTCCACCACTGCCAAATGCAGTCTTCTCTAAGCTCTAATGCATTTCCATGTCTTCCTATCTGAGGTGACGTTTGCTGAATTTCTGTTTAGATATTCACTTCAGCCCGTCAAACCAGGGAAACGCTGAATAATTCACAAGTTTTCTCTTTCCAGTGACAATGTTTGTACCCAACTTCAGCAGCAGTTCTGTTCAGTCAACAACTTAAAACCTTTTCCACATTATTTCCTTTTCCTTTAAAGCATGCAGCTCCAACTGTTTACAGAGTCAGAGTTTCCGCATAGGTGTGGATGCAGAACAGTTCTCCTTTTATTCACTGCTGCCATAAAACTCCCGAGGATACAAACTACTGTACACAGAACAAGATCAATTTGTTTCTCTGCTGCTTTACTCATTCAGACAGAGATGTCTAAGAGAGGTCACTTCTCTGGGTTTCTCATTGTTGCATTGCACCCACTAATCATACACTGCTACTGCACACATCTCAGAATATGGATTTGTAAATTGTAGGTGAACATTCTCAGTGTTGTTGAGGACATAATTTGATCCCCCCACCCCCCCTCTCTACTATGCTCTTTTACAGGCTGAAGGCTCTAGTGTCAACAGGAGGTCGGAGTGTGCAAGCAGCATGTGACTGGTAGGTTAAAACAACAAATGTGTATACAGTGCATTCACATATACACAGCACAAGAAAATGTGTGGTATACTGCCCTCTGCTGTTGAAAGGTGTTGCTTGCAAGTTGTAAACAGTAGGCACATTATATCTTTTGTATTTTGTGGATGATTTATAATTTTCATATTTAAAGCTGCAGTAGGTAATTTTTTGTCATATTAGAATATTAAAACTTTCACTATATCCTGATGGTAGTACATGAGACAGATAATCTGTTTCATTGTTCAGGCCTGTTGGATTCTTGCTAATGCCATTAGGAGCACTAGAACGAGCCAGAGGAAGCTGATTTTTTGTCTCATGTACTTTCAGGATATTATAAAAAAAAGTATTTTTATAAAAGTAACCTTATGCAGCTTTAACTGTGGCATCATGTCTAGACTTTACCACAGTTCCATACCCCTCTTTCTCTCTCAAGGCTGTTTTCCCATTTGGATGACCCGTTCCTTGACGACCCTCTGCCCAGGGAGTTTGTCCTCTACCTGCGACCCAGCGGACCTCTACAGAACCAGCTCTCCCACTTCTGGCAACAGAGCCGGGTCACTTGTGGCAAAAACAAAGCCCACAACATTTTCCCCCACATCACCCTCTGCCAGTTCTTCATGGTGAGTTGGAGAGTTCAACTGATTCTGCACGGTTTTATGAAGATAGACGATTGGATGATTTTATATCCAGCAAACACTTTACATGCAGCATGTGAGCTAATAGGAATAGATGTTAGGTGCCAACTTAAAGGTTCCTTGTGGAGTTTTATTTACATTCACTGTCACTCACCAAAACCATAAAACATTTTTAAAGATTTTAAAGATTTAAATCCTGCTTTGCATCCATGTTTCATTGATACAGCATTGGAGCAGGGCTTTGTTCATTCCTATGGATAAAGCCGGTTAAGCCCTCCACTAACTTGAAAGGGGATAAAATTAATCTAGACCTTCCAAATGTTATCGAATGGATCCAATTTTTATAGTAAAATGACTAATTTCCTGGGGGACAAAATGATCTACCCTTTCATAGCTGCTCCTTTCACCATGTAAGCTTATGGGAAAAAGTCTACCAAAAGCCATCAAATGTCAATCAATGGAATAGCGTAAAACCGGCAGCAATAATGTTTATCACGTTGCTTGCCCACCTACCTGCATGAATGTGTCTCCTCATATGCATGCTTGAAACAAACAAAACCAGCACCCAATCCTTAAAACATTGCTTTATAGCGCCACTAGTGGTCAGAGACTCCACAGGGAACCTTTAACACGTCATTCTATGCTTTTGTGCTGTTGGGTTGAAAATCACCAAATGAAATTCGTCCTCTAAAAATAATCAATAATGAAAATTGTGTCGCTCACAAGGGTCATTTATTAGTTTTCACCAGCAAACTAAATGTAAAAATCCATCACTGATTCAATCTGTGAGACAACAGAAAACCCTTTTCTTTCTTTATATGCTAACTTTAAAGCTCACTGCCCCTCTCAGGAGTGCCCCTGCTTCATGCCTGAATAAATGTGTCACACTTTAGCACATCACCTGCGTCTAAATGACAGTGAGCCATTACTTTAACAGGAAAATAAAATGAGCAATTTTACATATTCATGTCTGAATATCCCCCTTCTTCTTCCAAACAGTGTGCAGACCACAAAGTAGAAGCTCTATGCGAGGCTCTCCAGGCCACTGTCCAGCAGTGGCGGGGTCGATTTCCCACCCCGCTGCCTCTAGAGCTCTACACATCCTCAAACTTTATCGGCCTCTTCGTGGAGGAGCTGGTGGCCGACATCCTCAAGCAGTTTGCAGCCGACTTTGCGGCTGAGGCGGCCAGGAAGGCAGGTAGGAACCACAAGCAGAAAGTTTCTCAGCATCAGTTCATGGTAGTCACCGTATAATGTGTGTTGACCAGCTTTCTCTTCCAGCGCTGGCAGTAGATGATTGGTCAGGATAGCGGTCATGTTGGGTTGTTAAAGCACTCACTCAATCCGTCACCATAACTCTTTTTAAACACAGCCGAAAATTAGACTGGACTGCCAGACAGCATTTCAGGCAGTGAAGTGCCAAATCAGATTAGAGCCGCAGTGTTAGCGCTAATGCTCTGTCATATTTCTGTTTTACGGTAAAGACACAGATTAGAGCGTGTCATTAAAATCTGATGTGGTAGTGTTGAGTGCTGTCGGTTTTACTCTGCGGGTTTCATCTCTGGTGTTTACTCTGCAGCAGCTTCTTGAGTGGAATATTTTTCACAGTTAACAAAAGCTGCAGATTTAATGCTTTTTTATGGTGAATTGTTGATGTTACATACTGCACTATATAAAACAAACTCCTTTCTCATCTTTCAACTCCAGAAGTCCATGTGGAGCCTCACAAAAAGCAGCTCCATGTAACTCTGGCCTACAACTTCCCCACCAATCACCTCCCGTCACTGGAGAAACTGGCCAAGGGCATCGAGGTCAAGCTCGGCTGTGATTGGCTGGCAGTCCTGTTCTCCCGGGACATTCGTTTCGCAAACCATGAGGTAGCTAATATTCATACTAACAATGCATGTATCACCAACAGCATCAACACATACTGACTCCTGATTATTTCTTCTAAATGTTCTAAATAACTTAAAATAACTTGTCCTGCCTGCAGACCCTGCGGGTGATGTACCCCTACATGCCTCAGAACGAGGACGAGCTGGAGCTGGTTCCTGGAGATTTTGTCTTCATGTCTCCAGTGGATCAGAGCAGCACCAGTGAGGGTTGGGTTTACGGGACCTCGCTGGCCTCTGGGCTGTCTGGCCTACTGCCTGAGAACTACGTCAGCTTGGCCGACGAGTCTGACACCTGGGTCTTCCACGGGTGAGCAGAACACTCTCTCTTTTTATTTATGCTTATACTTATACTATATATATATAACACACCCCCACATATAACAAAAAAGTTCCTTGAGACACATTGACTGGAAAGCAGTGAAAGAAATTCTGTCATTGTATTTATTTTGCTTAATAGCAGTTACATAGGTCCCCATCATCCATTTGTAGCTAGAACTAGAAATACCAGTTCGAAAGTTAGGAATTAATGATGTTAAACCTGTACCACTGCAGTGTTTGGTGATAATCTCTTCTAAAGGAGAATGCGTAGATTTTGCAAATTATTTATTTTTTTGCACAATAAATACAAAACCTTATTTTAAAAAGTTCCCCTTAGTATGTTTTCAGGACAAACATTTCTTTAGCTGACAAATCTGTGTTGTTAAAGGGCCAGTGTTTAGAGTTTAGTGGCATCTAGCGGCCTTACCCTCTGTAGATAAAAACAGCTCATTTTAAGGTAACAAAAACACAATGATTCTCATTTTCAGGAGTTATACACTAATGAAAACATATCTATAAATATTATATTCCATTTCTGCCAATAGATCTTCCTAAATTACAGTTACACACTGGACCTTTAATGCAAGAATACTCCACGGATCAACCTTTCCTCAGTTGCTAAAAGAAACAAGTGATTTAATCTTGCATACTGTACTGTTCTCCTCGTCCACCACAGCTCCCATTCATTCTTCAGCTGTGGGCCCAGTGACAAGACCAGCAAGGATAGAGGGATGTTTGACGGACTGCTGGACAGCCGACGCCCTGACAACACGAGTCCTGGAGACACGCCCACCCTCAGTCTCATTTGCCACCCAATGCAGGTAGCTTTGTGTTCATAACTGATGATAATTTTCACAATTCCTGTAATACTTTCATTAAAATTCAACATGTATGCTATCACAAAGCCATGTAATTGACTTTTATTTCCAGCAGGTACTGCGGATCAGCGGTGGTCACTCTCGACAGCCGAAGAGGACGCTTTTTGTCTGTCGGCACGGTGAGAGGATGGACGTGGTCTTTGGCAAACACTGGCTCTCCCTCTGCTCCGACAGTAAAGGTGAGAAATCAAAGGGTTGGGCTGTTTCCCTCCACTTTAAAGAAACCACCTTACATCTGAGAGCATGTGTTTCTGTTGTCCTGCAGGTAGATATGTACGCTCCAATCTGAACATGCCTCCCAGTTTGCCGCTGTGGGGAGACAAGAGAGATTACGACATGGACGCTCCCATCACTGTGTTTGGATCCACGCAGGCTCGACTAGTGGGTACGTCCCCAATATGGATCTTTTTGATGCTCTAATGATGTTGTTGCATTCTGTATGTGAAATGTGCTAAACATGTGCTAAAACATGCTCTTTTCAGGTGAGGCCCTGTTAGAGAGTAACACAGTGATAGATTTTGTGTACTGCTCTCCCTCCTTGCGGTGTGTTCAGACTGCACAGAACATCCTCAGAGGTAAGAACTCCTCAAGAAAATATTGATTGATCAGGGATTCTCCAACATTTAAACTCAGGATAAAGACGATCATGTTGAATTTAATGAACTTTACAGAAATTAGAATGTAGTGTGCTGGGGATGTAATGGGGGTGAGCTCTGATGAATTGTTTGTGTGAACAGGTCTGCAGCAGGACGGTAAGCTGAAGGTGCGAGTGGAACCGGGGCTTTTTGAATGGACCAAGTGGGTTTCTGGGAACTCTCTGCCTGCGTGGATACCTCCCACCGACCTGGCTGCAGCCCACTTCAGCGTGGACACAACGTACAGGTGATACACACACCTTGTGCAATTAATTATATTCAACGTGAGTCATTAGTCATGTAAATGTATTTTTCATCTGCTTTTATAAAACGATTCGTAGGTGTATACCAGAACTGCAAAGAGATTGTATTATTTAGTGTTTTTGGTTCAAGCATGTCTTAAAGACTGCAGTACCTTGTAAATTCTGTAAACCAGCTATGTCCATGTCAGGATCCTGTAGGAATTTTCCCAGTGATTTGATTGGTCAGTAGAAGGACTGTTGACATGGTTTGATCTGATCTTCTGAAGTTAACCTTCACTGGGGCATCTTAGCAATGTAGCATAGGTTACCATGTTGACCTAACCTGGTTAAAAGTTTGTGATTTCAGAAAACCTGATTTAAGCTCAAAGACAAATGGCTAGCCCGCTAATCTCGCTCTGTGATCATGGACTGTGGGCTTTTTTCATTCATTTCTATCAGGGATGCATGATCTATATATCAGGGCATATATCGGTTAGCGGTATCGGCTGAAAAAAAAATCATACATCCCTAATTTCTTTTTCCTCTAATGTATAAAAAACGAAACAGTGGAATGTTCTCCAATCCTTAAAGTGCTGCCCACGTCTTCTACCTACACAAATATGTAGCCTCTGTGTGTATAGTGGGATGGTTCACACAACGTACGTAACACATACAAAGCCATAGCATATTCAAATGTTACAATCTATTCTGTTTCCATTCACGTATATATTCTGCATAAACTGTATAATATTCATACAGTCTACCTGCAGCAGTAGTTCATCCTCCTTTATACCTCTGAAGTATCTGCAGATAGTTTTTACTTATATATATATACTAGTGTGTGTGTGTGTGTGTGTGTGTGCATGGTGGATGGAATTTCATCTTTTTTAACTGAAAACAACCTCAAACCACAGTGCACTTCCAACAAAAGCCTCCACTAAAAGATTTATAGAACAACTGCAACACAGTTCTTATATGTGCCACTGGTTATCTGATACAGTGGTTCCCAACCTGGGTCACGACCCCCACTAGGGGTCACCAAAACTATATCTCAGCATCAAATTGTTATTAGAATTTTTCTATATATTTTAGGGGCTTTTGTTGCCTTGGTACATGGGGCACTAGCTGTACCAGGTGAGCTACTGGCTTAATTACACAAACTTCCTGCAGTTATTGTGTTCACTATTTGGATTCCTTGTAAGGTTTATCAGTTGTTCTCTTCTGTTATTGATATACACTGAATTTAATATGAAATATCCATAAATATGTCTCTTATTCAGGGGCTGTCCATTCACTCAGTGATAGAAAAAGGGGTCCTTTAAGGGAAAAGGTTAGGGACCACTGTTCTAATACTTGGTATTTGTCTCGATACAGACCTCTGATCCCAATCAGCAAGCTCACTGTGTCTGAACCCTATGAGAACTACATGAGCCGGAGCTACCAAGTGACCAAAGATATCCTGTCAGACTGCAAAAACACTGGTAAGAGACGCACACAGAGCTCCTGCAGCGTCTGGAAGATGTTCTCGAGCTAGCGTAGGGGAACTTTTACTTAATTGTTTGTCCACTGCTGATGTTGCATCCTGCCTGGGTTTCCACTCTCCGTAGGAAACAACGTGCTGATTGTAGCCCACGCTTCTTCCTTAGAGGCCTGCACACGCCAGCTGCAGGGCCGCAGCCCACAGAGCGCCAAGGACTTCATCCAAGTAGTCCGAAAGGTCTGCATATCTCCTTTTTTTTATCTAATCCATCAGATTTTTTTCCTCTTATACATCCCACTTTTCTATCCATCCATCACTTCCATCTGGTTTCCTCAGTTCCTCTCCCAGTGCACATTGTGGCTGGATGTGCAAAAACATGAGTGTATACGCTGAAAACTCCACTCCATACAGCTTACCCATGTGTATGAATGAAAGAAAAAACTAATCTGTCGCATGAAAAAAAAACACACTCAAATGCTTTTTTATTTGCCAGCTAAAGGGGACAACAGATAATGTTGTATTCCTACATTGTAGAATATAAATGACAAAGTTTGCTGCTCCATCATTCTCTGAATTAATGTGCTACAACATAAAAGTGATACTATTCGGTTTATACGAATAAAGAACAGCCTTATTTAAGTCATTTTTTCCTCTGGGATTTTAAGCACGTTACATTTAAGCTCAAATCCCAGCTTGTCCCGTTTGACCACTCTGACCTGGTTTAGTAAACATGGAGGCGACTGGGGACTTGTTTGTTCTTGTACGCTCAGCAGCATACTGTTTGTGGACTACATTTTCCGCTTTAGATAACAGCTCTTTGTTTGGTTGCTCATTAGTGGGAAACTGGGTTTGCAAGCTTTTGTTACTCAGGTCAGTGCACTTTAGTGTTTGTCTGCATGTTCTCTAACAAAACAAAATACTGTTTATTCACAGTTTCGTCTTTTATTACTGTATTTTAGGCAGAGCAAGACTATAGAAGATCTAAAATGCCTAAATTACATCAATTGTGGTACACTACAGAACATTATTCATCATATTTGCTACATATTTCAGGAGTTACATGCAGCTTGTTTATTACTGATCTTTTTTGAGGGGCAATTTTACAAAATTCTTGCACCAAGTCTGGTCTAGGTGAAACTCCATCTATTTTTAATATTCATTTTCTCTAACATACAACATTTCTGTGAGTCAGTGATAGACATATGCATTTTATAAAATTAATATAATATAATATAAGAGCTTTATTAAGAACAGGAGAAAAAGGTCCTGTTAATATGGCACAGTGTTTAGTTGCCTTATCCCTCATTCTGGAAGAATACATTCAAATGTGACTTTTAAAAAGTAAATAACTATAAGCAGTACATTTGTATGTCATTGTGACCAGTTTGGAGTTGATGGGTTGAATGCAGGATGAGGCAGCAGACATATTACAGAAAGAAGCTCATTTTGTCATGGGAACAGAGTGCTTTCAGTAATAGGCTGGCTGACCTCGACCAGCCAGAGCAGTCTGGTTCTCCTTCATTAGCTGGTCTGCTGTCTCTTTTGATGCATTGAGATCAATAAAGCTCTTTAAATACAGCCGCGGTTTGCCTGCTTTCTGCTTCAGCAGCGTCCACAGTCTAACCCATCTGAGCAGATTTTAACCAAGAGTAAGATTTGTTCCTTAATACCTGGATTTCAGTATGTAGACCAATATAGTTTACTCTGTGTCACTGCTCGCTCTCTTAACATGTGCAACAAATCACACAAAACAAAGCCATTTCAGAAAAACTAATGAACCTAGACTTGGACAATATATAACTATTAATTCCTCTGCTTGGTCCTCAGATCCCCTACCTGGGCTTCTGCTCCTGTGAGGAGCAGGGAGACACGGGGGTGTGGCAGTTAGTGGACCCTCCCATCCTCCCCCTCACACACGGACCAAACCACAGCTTTGACTGGAGGGAGACGCTCCTGCAGGAATGACGTCTGATCCGTGCTCCGCCCAACCCGATCATACTGTACTCCCACAGACTGCAGCAACACGTTTCAGACCAGTGCCCCCCAAATACTGGAACCATTCTCTTTTCAGCCTCTTCACACAGCTGGTGGTTTAGCAGTGAAGAAGCTTCCTGCCTGAATAGCCGGTGAATGGTTGTTGAACTGACTGCCGCCCTCTGAGGCTGGTTTCCACTCTCAAATTTGATTCTTTTTCTTGCCAGAATGAGGGAGACGTTAGTTTGGGCAGTATGGCTGTTAGCTGCGCTGTGTGGGAGAGCGTGTCCACATTGTCATCCCAGTCTCAGAAAACTTTGTGAAATTAGCATGAAGGATTAAGTTTTACCAACATGAATGTTTTACATGAAGTACACAGGATTGTAGCAGAAGTGGGACTCTGAAGTAATGGCATAGAAAGCGAAAGCATGGAAGGTTAACTTTTTTTTTAGCTCGGTTGACTTAGGTTTTATTTTTAACTTGTCAGTTTAGTGTATTTCCACTGAAAATGTCTGCATTTCACAAATCCAAAACGTTTAAGTTCACTAAATATAATATATTTCTAAATTTAACTGTTAGCTAACGTTAAACATTAGGTGTGTCCATTACTCCCTCGTTTACTTACTCACTAATGTCATTTTAGTTATTGACCACATCCATTCTGTTTTTAACTGACTTATGTGTGACTAAAGATGTGTAAAGATAGACATGAAAAATGTCTATCTTTACATTAATGTGCTAACATTAGCAAGGCTAAGATCCGCCCTGAGTTGGATTACAACATATCTCACATGCTAAATCATTCAACATTTAAGCCTGATAACATGTTGTGTCAGAGGATTGTAAACCAGTGATTCCCAACCAGGAGTATGGGGACAAATTGTAACTTGAATAATTCGAAAAAATTAAATCAATGATTTGATTTAAAAATACGTCAACATAGGTCAGTTATAACAATTCATTTATGTGTTACTGCACTTAGTTAAAACTAGTTAGAAAGCAAGCAGAGGAGATGAAATTGAACGTCCAACTTTTGCCAGTCAGTGTGGTTGTAGTACGAATACAAACTTGACCAATTGAAACATGGCAGTTAATTGTATGAAAATATTGTAATCCCCTATTTTATCCTCCAACCTATCTAGTGGTGTTGATGAAGGGGCACTTGAGTTCATCGGACTGGGCTGTAGAGGTACATCTGGAAAAAAGTGTGTCCACAGTATCTTATTCGAGTTAGTGCTTATTTCACAAAATTGAATGAGACTGTTGAGAATTTGTAATGAGAGTGTATCATAGCAGTACTGCTTTCCTGCACAGATCTCAGCAGTATTACTTCACCATACAGTAAATGTCGACTCAGCTCGAACCACAGGGCTCCTGGCCAGGGTTAAAACAGATGGCATTGATTGTTGTTGTTTTTAAAGGGCATCCTTTGTCCTCCTAACCCTGGCTTCAATCAGGGACTTTCCTGATGCTACCCACATAACGTGGCCCCACACGTTTTCTCTATTTTGCCGCCACATGTAGCACACCCAGTACAGCAGTGTCTTCTACCGTTCATGTAGTGTATGTAAAAATGAAACAACCGCAACTATAACAGCACAACCTGCACTATTGACAATCATACAGTAGCTTCTTGATTCTGCTCCAGCACATTTTTAGTGTGTGCTTGTTAAATGGTGTTTAAGGGGTTTGGAGTAGCTGTAAATAATCATATTTTGAGAAAAGTCTTCCAGTTGCATTTTTTATTTATTTATAAACTTTTCTTTCAGATGTTACAAGCATAGATATTAAAAAAGAGGATCATCACTTTCAGCATGCAAGAATTTATGCTCTGTATCTCAGGTGTTGACTGCATTTAAGACATAACGTATATGCAGCTTTGAAAAGTGTTCCACTGATTGAGTGACTGTGTTGTTGTGAGTGCCTCTTGGAATTAAAGTGATGTCTCCTGATGTACTGACTGCCCGCTCGTAGATACAGTAGAAGTAGTAAGTTACATCGCTCGTAAACATATTGCTCAGGCTGATACTTGATGCACATCACACACACGTATTAAGACGTCATAAAAGTTGCATGTTTTAAACTCATCATAGTCTCATTTATAAAATCCCTCTCGATTCTGGGTTGCATTTTGCAGTTTTTGAGAAATATTTGAATTGCTTGGAGAAGTGACAGTTATCTGTCCTGTCTCTGACAGTAAGTGCTTTCTGAAGCCTCATTGTGGAAACGTGCTTTAATACATTTCCCTTATAGCATTCAAGTTAAGTTTCAGTTGTGTTCAGCAGGATTTCACCACCAGAATACACCAATCTTATCAGCTTACACCTAAAAGTGTGGCTGTAACGGAGAACATTGATCCCCAACCGAATCAGACCCTGCATTTATTCCACAAAAAGAATTGTGAAATACGAGCTGTCTCCCATTTTATTTCCAAATACATCACCAAATGTGTGAGGAAAGGCACAGCTCACTACATTTAGTGCAGTAAATAAATAATTCAGTATTTCTCCACCTGAAACGTGTTCTCAGCTGTAAACGTAAACCAACCATATAGATCATGTAAAGTAGAAATAAAGATGTTCATATCTGTACTGCCAGTGATACGTCACATGAGGTTCTGTGTGATTACAGGAACCTTCACTGTGTTAATGTATCCTGAGCATCAAGCTGCACAGTACTGAGCTGTGTTCCAGTTCTGCCAGGAGAAATTTTTGAGAGGACAGAAAAACAGTTTAGCTCAACAACTAAATGTGTCCTCGCTGTGTCTCAGTGGTGGAAAGCGTAAACTGCTGACTCAGGTAAAAGTGACTTCCTGAAACCGCCACTAAATGCTGAGCATTTCAGTGGAATAGTTTGACATACATCAGCCTATTTGGGAACTGATTCCCTTTCTTGCTGAGAGTTATAAGAACAAAACCACTCTGTCCGCTAAATATGACACCAGAGATAACAGGAGATTGGCTTGTTAGCTTAGCTAGCCTGTCTCTGCCCAAAGTTCAGAAAAACGCAGAACAACACCTCAAGATTTCTTTTATTTATTTGTTTATTAGAGCTCAAAGATAGGATGGTAACTTTAGTTTTGATTGAAACTAGAGAGTGATAGCAATCTTCTCCTATAACTCTCAGAAAGCAATACGCATGTTCCCGAAAATGTAAACTATACATTTAAAGAGCACCCTGAGCACTTCACACTAGCCTTTGCTTTATATGTAAATAAATGAATCATCATTCTAAAAAAGCAATGTGAACACACCCTTTATCTAGTCACTGCATCTTAAGTTGATTTGCTCATAGTTGGCTCTCCTGACTGAAGCATCACTGAAATCTATTTTGGAAACATCTGCCCTTTATCATCATCATCATATTATCATCTTCAAATCTACTCAGAAAACATCACGATAAACATGATACATTTCCTGGAGCATCACAGATTCCACTGAATACCTACGTCAATGTAGTCCATCTTGAGAAAACAGATCATCTTTCTCTTTCATCTGAAAACCATTACCAGTAACGTTGTTGAATCCAGTGAAACCGCCGTGTCGCTGTGCAACTGTTGCAAAAGCTTCACTGACGCAGGGAGGCAGTGGTCCAGGTGTTGGGAGGAAATACTCTGCTACAACAGAAATGTGAAAGGTTTTTTTTATTCATTGGAATTAAATGTCATTTTCATCACACAACATAGCGGAGCAGCATATGTTGTATTAAAGAGTTTCAATAAAATTATACCTTCATTTAGAAGAAGAGAGCCATGTGAGAGAGACAAAGGAAGAAGCCATGTTGTTCCTGTGTTCTTTATTTATTGTCTGAACATATCACCAAACGTGTACAGCAATTAACTTAACTAGTGAAATTGATATTTGTTGATTTGTGATGTAAGATGAAGTGTGTCTGCAGGCTTCTTTTACATTTTTATTTTAGTTCTGATTCTATCTTCTGTTGCTGTTCGTGAAGCATCGAGTCATGAAGAAAAAAGCTGTCCTTTTCAAATGGCTCTGATATTTTCATATTGTGAATCCTCTGCAGGGCTCAGGAGGGAAAGTAAGTAACATGTCGTTCTATGATTTGTGGTGACGGAGTTCATTTGCATTTTGGTTCTTCTTCTAATTTAACATGGAACAAAAGCATCCTTTTTCTACATAGCAATAAAATTATAACACAACAGGTGTGCAAAGTTGCTATTTATCTGCAAATACTGTAAAGAAGTACAAATCCAATAAAACTCTACATCCTTCTTTTTGTCTTTTTTTGGGAGCATATTCAGAATGAATGTAATAAATCACAGCTGAGAAACTATTGTGGTGCTGAAATGCCCAAAAAACATGAACGCCTCTGTTTAGTTTGTCCTTCCTGGGCTACTGTAGAAACATGGCGGCATACATATGAATACTATATTCCATTTCTACCAATAGATCCTCCTAAATGTTACACACTGGACCTTTAAGGCATGCAGTTATTGGCAAATACAGATTCCTTCAGTCACAACACAGATGAAACTATAACTCACTGTACCGTCAGTCAGACATTCTGGTCTGATCTTGATAACCATTAAAACAGTAAATTGAATCAATTAAAAGTTGATATACAGATGCACCCTGGTAGCTCAGCTGTAGAGCTGCTCCCCCATGTATGTAGACTAAGTCCTTGCTGCAGCAGCCATAAGGTTTGCTGCATAATTACATACCACCCAAGCTCATTGAAAAACAGAAACTATACTAACATTCAAAAACCTGCACAAACTCCACTGTGTGAAAACTAGAGCTCAATTTTAATTAAGAAATGACTTCTGAAATGTATTTTGTAATTTGATAGTTTTCTTTTATACACTGTTCCATTGTATTTGTACTAACCTTAGGAGCAATACTAATATGTATTATTATTATTCTGGTTAGCTATGTTTGGAATGGTGAGCCCTGTTGTTAACCATTCAAATTTAAATGTTTAAAAAACTTAAAAATTAAAAAGGATCACCAGCTGAGGGAGGGCCCCTCTCCTGAGAGCAACAACCTGCGGCCAAAACAATTAAGCACACCCAAGAAGGTCATTCTGGTGAGTTAGAACAAAATAATTCAATTAAGGTCGCAGGTGGTGTAACATTTAGGAGGGACTAATTGTCAGAAATGGAATATAATATTCATAGGTATGTTGTCATTAGTGTATAATCAGCTGAATATACTAATAATTTAGTTTTGTTACCTTGAATGAGAGGGAATACAGAGGGAGCGGGTCCACTTCTATGGAGGTCGCCATGTTGTACCAACATGTTTCAACAGAAGCCCAGAACGGACAAACCAAACACTGGCTCTGGATAGGGCCTTTTGCCTTTTTTGCAGCCATGTAGTTCCTCCTTTACACTTGGAAGGCGCGGTAATCAGTTGGTTGCATTCAGCAACTTCACCACTAGATGGCTCTAAATCCTAAACGCTGGTCCTTTAACACAATAGTTTAACATTTTTGTATATGTATGTATGTATAATATGCTTTTTTCTCCATAGTTAGAAGACAAGATTTATACTACTGTCTGTATGGCAAATATGCTGGAGCCAGCCTTAGCACAAAGACTGGAAACAGCTAGCCACGCTCTGTCTGAAGAAACTGTCAAACACATAACCCCTCATTTGTCATTTTTATGCTTCAGTTTGTGTTCAGATAAAACAAATGAGACATAATGTGTTAATTAGTGAGAAAGATGGCGACCTTTCTGTACTGCTGTGTCCACACAGCGAGCGTTTCTGCTGCTGCGATGTCAATAGGACATATGAACAGATAATTTTGACTATTTACTATACTATATCTAATATTTTTGAGGAGAAAAAATAGACCTTTACTCTTAAGTGAAGCGTTGCAGCAGCCGCGCATGAGACACGTTAGAGGTGCTGGTGGGAGGATTTTGTTACCGGTTTCCATTCTTTATGCTAAACTAAGCTAAGATAAGCTAAGCTAAGCTAGCTTGTTGGACAACATATTTACTG